GCCACTGCTGACCAGGCTGTCAACAACCGGCAGAAGCTGGACCTGAACTCTTTGAAAGGGTGTACTTTAAAATATGAAAATGATACTTTACTGAAGAAAATAAAAGCTGCAATGGAAGAAGACGGGGCAGGGTGGAGAAGCGGCCTCATCTAACCAGGAAAGGTCAGGCTTGCCTTCTCCAAGGTCACCAATGGAGACCAATGAGAAAAGACTCTTGTGATCGCCTCACTATTGTGGAAATCCAGACCCCAACCCCCAAGTTGGCACTGGGGGACACTCACCCAGCTCCAGAAGAGACAAGAGACCATCCTTCTGTCCATCCGTCTGGGAATTGGCTGTGTGCACACGGCATAACACGCACACCAGCCTTTTCATGACACATCACCAAAGCAGCTCTATCCCCTGGGTCCTGGGAACTCCTGGGGGGTAACCTGCCTGGTTATGTAAAGGGCCATCCTCTATCTATGTGACTGTCCACAGCATCCTTGCCCAGCTACATATGGGAGAAAATTTTTTCTTTGTAATTTGGCTTTAGGGACAAAGCCCTCAAATACTTGATATGCTTACAGGGACTCACCGATGGACGTCTCCCACTTTTCATACTGAGTTGGAAATGGACACGGGCCTCCCATGTTATATTTAGAAAGAAGTAGGAGAAACTACTCATGATTCATGAGCCCTTGGAGAAGTGGCTCGCAAAAGCCTGCGTGTGCTGAAGCACATTCATAAAGTGGGTGTACAGCCGTGTGGGAAAAGCGCCCCACCACAGTCTGCTTCGTAAGAATTGCCCAGACGGAAGGGACCCCACGGATTAACCCCGTAAGATGCAGGCCAACAGACTCCCATCAAAGCCAGATGCCTAAACTCACACAAACCAACCAGGCCGTTTTGGACCGTTCACAAGCACCCCCCTGCGTACTTTAAAAACCTTGCTTGCTAACCAGCCCACCCATCAGACTGCCATGAACCTGCTACCGTGAGATGTCACAAATCGATAGGGCCCATCGGGTGCTTTTATGGGCAAGGCCCTCACTTAGGAGAATTCACAATGACAGCAATGAAAATCACCTCATCCTTGAAGGTTGTGGAGCACATGGCTGGGTGAAGGCCAGGGAACAATCTAAGAGGATCTGAAATCTGCGTCCAGGTGCCAGAGAAATGAAATGAGTCCATTTTCAAGGTTCCTTCCTGAGTTGGAAGTGATGTAACATGGATTCTCCTAACATTTTCAGGAAAGTGTCTCTTTCTGCTCTCAGAGGAGGTAAACATTTCTTTGGGGATTCTGTTCCCTGCAGCCCACGGCATTGTAACAGACAGCAGTGATGCAGGGATGGGATGAAGAGAGAAGCTGGCAGAGAGAGAAGGGCCAACAGGTAAGGAAGGCGCTTGCTGGCTCCCGAGCAGAGAAGCAGGGCTGTCACTCCTAGCGCAGGCGGCTAGGACTTGGGGCACCCAGTGGCTCCAGGGAACGTGTCCCTCTGCACCCGTGAAGGTGAGGCAGAACCTTCTGGGTCTGACCCTGGTTGCTGAGGCAAAGAGCACATCTACCAGAGCACCATTGGTGCACCTCACTGCAAGGTCACGCCACACAGCCCCTCCCGCCTCCTCCATGCCATGTTCTCCCACGTAGAACATGCGCACCATGACACATACAGTAAGATGCGGCAACGCAGACCTTCCTGGCAACTTCCAGCAGAGAAAGCCAGACCGGGGGCTGAGGAATGACTCACCTATCATAACACACAGGACTTACTTTTAATCTGAGTTTGATGGTGGTAAAGGAGAGAGAACACGGGTGCTTGAAGGGGTTATGGATGTGTTTTCTTTTTCTTTTCCACTTTTTAAGCTAGAAAGGACACCTGAATAGGCTGACAAGGTGCTCTCTCCCATTGGTGGGAGCTCAATACATATTTGCTTGACCAAAACTTAAGAATTTGAGATAAACATATAAAACAACTCTGAAACGAACGCTTCACCATTAGGCATTTCTTCTTCTGACTATGTCACTGGGGGTACTCCAATTCCCCCAGGTACTAAAGGGTATACACAATCATTAGAGCAACACCAACAGTCTCTCTCTTCAATACCTGCTGAACATGTGGGATTTTTCTTTAAGGACTCTGATAACTCAGGACAGGACTTTAGTAGATGTTACATCAAATCAACTTGATGAAAATCTACATGTTGCTATGTCCCAAACTCTCCTTAGTTGCCTGGTTACAGAAACTTTATCAACGAACGGGAGACAAATGCACACAAACCCTAAAGAAGGAAATCTGGCTTCTCTGGGGGAGGGACAGGGCTTGCCCTGGGGCCCCGGGTCCCGGGACAGACAGTCCAAGTAGGGTAACACACACGTTATTTATCCTCATGTGCCCAAACAGGATGACATTTCGGCCTGATGCAGTCACATGTTTTGACAGTATTTCTGCCTTCATCACATCTCCGTAAGGGGGTGTTTCTGTAAGGGAAGAACCTTAAATATGATGGTGAAAAGTCGATGGGGGAGGGTTAGTATGTGGGCTGTTCACTTGGCGGCACCCCTGGGAATCTATCAGTTCTGCACTAGAAGACCACCTGTCCGCTAAGGGAATCATTCCTGTGAGTTCTGAGGTTAAGGAATTATGGCAGTGATGGGTACTGGCCCAATTTGCAGGGGTGATGAAGGACATATTTTGTTTTATCAACTTTTTATACTATATTCTGGCAACAGTTCATGCAAATGATCTAATATATATGTAGAGAGCAGGTGCACTTTCCATGAATAATGGCAGCTGGGGTCCGAAGGGGCAGAGATCCAGGCTTGGATGGAGTGACATGTTTCTCTTTAACAGGTCACGTGGTTCAACGGACCTCCCCTGCCTCACTCCTATCCAGGATAGCCATTTTTCACAGGGAAGGCGAAGCCCCAATGGGGTAGATCACGTGTTCCAGGATCAGAGCTCAGGCCACCTGGTGAGGCTGCAGTGCCTGCCCATCTCAGCCTTCGGGTGGACTCTCCAGAGCCGGGACCCGGGCACTCACAAGCCGGTCCCCCTCCGTCCTAATCCATGTGTCTCTGGGAGGTGGGGGCTTGGGAATTGGTCTCCTTCCTGAAAAACCGACTTGCAGAATATATACAAGATGATACTGCGTGCACAGAACTTAAAATTCCTGCATAACCAAGTGTCCGAGGTTGTGTTGCCTGCTCCGCATTCGTATGCTGTGGTCCTAACCCCCAGTACACCTCAGAACATGACTTTATGTAGAAATACAGATGTAATTATTTACAACGGAGAGCAGTGAGCCCTCATCCAATATGACTGTCTTTACAAAACAGAACTTGGACAAATTTGGCCACAGAGATTGAAGCACACAGGGAGAACGCCAGTTGAGGGTAAAGGCAGGTATCGGGAACAGTGCACATACGGGCTGGGCCAGGAGCGCCCGTGACAGCCAGCGAACACCCAGGGGCTTGGGACCGACTCTCACGGCCTCAGAAGGCACCGACCCTGCCAACACCCAGCTTTCGCGCTTCTGTCCTCTAGAACCACGACACGGTGTACTTCTGCTTGAGCCGCCCCAGTGGTGCTTTGTGACAGCAGCTCTGGCTAGCTGGACACCAGTACTAAACACTGCTTAGGAAAACACCCTCGTGCAGTAAAGGCATGGGGATACAGAACCCCAAACTGGCGGGGCAGCCCCTGAGGGGCACCAGCATTCAACACAGGGGTCCCTACTGCCCAGGAAAGGGTATAAATCTCTTGAGTTGGGTGGCCGGTGGGTCCAAAGGTTTTTTTTTCATTATGTCATTTTGTATGCCTCCAATGAAATATTTCAAAGCTTTTAAAGTTGAAAAGAAGTATTCACTTTAAAAACTAATAAAAAATGAATGCACTTAATAAAAAAAAGAATTAAGGCTTCTTAAGAGTTTCAAAAAGCAGCTGTAATTCTCTACACTGCTTAGCTCGACCCCACTGTTTGGGGCACCCCCAGTGCTGTGCCACGGGGAAGTGAAGGCTCCGGAACATCAAGGCCTCCCACTCATCTGTGACAAAGCCAGGCCAGACCCCGGGCTCTCTTCCAGCCCTTTCCCTGCTCCGAGGACAGCAGCCGCCACACACAAGGTCCATGTAGTCAACAGCAAACACACATTTGGCCTGTTCACCGTTTCCCATGAAGTAATGTCACGGTCATGATCAAAAGTGTCGGAAGACACTGGAAGTATTTCTGCTTTGTGGAGAACTGCCTAGAGCCCATTCTTCAGGGTGGTTTAGGAGCTCAATAAATCTCTGGTCCGAAATCTAACAGGTTCATATACATACGCATTTCACATGTATATACATACACACCATATACAGCTGACCCTCAAACAACACAGGGGTAAACGATACTGACCCCCTGTGTGTTGTTGAAAATCTGAATATAACTTCTGACTCCCCAAAACCTAACTACAAATTGCTTGCTGTGGACCAGAAGCCTTACTGATAACCTAAACAATCAGTGAACACAGATTTTGTATGTTATGTATAATATATACTGTATTTGTACAATAAAACTAGAGGGAAAAAAGTGTTTTTAAAACCTATCAATATCTCCAGAAGATTTTCCAACATAGTTTATTGGGGTAAAAAAAAAAACACATATAAGGGAACCCTTGCAGTCCAAACCCGTGTGATTCAAGGGTCAGCTGTGTGTACAGCACAGATAGACACCAGCCCATAAATGCTATCACTAAAAAGGAGACCAAGGGCCCAGATCGCACCCCACCCCTTCCCATGGCCATCACAACTGCTCTGGGTGTTAATTCCAGTCCGATTTCATCTGAACCTAACTATCGAGGGAAGAAAAAACACACTCCCTCGTCCCATCCCAGGAGTGGAACAGCCCCACAGCCCTCCCTTCTCTCCTTGAACTCTCCTAAGAGTGTTTTTAGCCTTTCCTTCCCCACAGCCTGGTGTTCTGATGGACGGCAGACCACCGGGCCCATGTTTCCCCCTGACAGAAACCTGCCCTCTTACCTGACTCCTGCAGATAGCGATACACCAGGAAGTTCACCTCGTCACTGGTGATGCTCATCTTAGCCTTACCTCGCGGCGATGAGGTTTTAACGCAGTGGGACCACCTTCTGTGGGAAAGGCAAGAGGAAAAAAGCACAAAGTTTTTGAAACAGTGCCTATATTTTTTTAACTGTGTTATTTTTGAGAAGACTCAAAAAAACACCATCCATCATGGTGTCCCTATGAAGGCAATGAATGCTTGATTTGTGCTATATTTTTGTGATCAAGTGATTACATACAATTTGTTAATTTTAAATATATATATATATATAAGCGATGAGGTTTTAACGCAGTGGGACCACCTTCTGTGGGAAAGGCAAGAGGAAAAAAGCACAAAGTTTTTGAAACAGTGCCTATATTTTTTTAACTGTGTTATTTTTGAGAAGACTCAAAAAAACACCATCCATCATGGTGTCCCTATGAAGGCAATGAATGCTTGATTTGTGCTATATTTTTGTGATCAAGTGATTACATACAATTTGTTAATTTTAAATATATATATATATATATACACACACATAAACACATCCAGGTGAAATGCTTCCCCTGCAAAGAAAGCATTGGTATATCTCAGAGCATTGTGATAGGGTCAGGTACAAACCACATTAATGAAGACAAATTCAGGGGCAACAGAAAATGAAAACAAAAACCAACTTTTTATTCAACACAGGCACGAGTGCGTTAGGATCACAACGCCCTGGGTAACGGGCATGCATGGGCCGGAAGCACGCTTCCACACTCACTGGATGAGACAGCAAGTGCTTCTGCAGACAGAAGGTTACTGAGAAGACCTGTAGTTAACGGCAACACCCCAGAAGGTCACCAAGTGGCCCACATTGTGCCTGCTGCTGTGGAGAAGTGATTAATCACAATGCTTTTCACTCACAGAAGTTTACAAGGTAACTGGACGGTTGCTCTACCTATAGGGTTACCTAACAGCCCTGAGAGGGAAGATGAGCACCGTGATGGGCTACGCAGATGTCTGTGTCACCGGGACGCTACTTGTACAAGAGGCCAGGTCTCCAGAAGCTGGAGCGTAGGAGAGAGAACCCCCCAAGCCCACTCCTGACTGTTTGCATTTTGCCACAGAGACACTGCATCAGGATCAGCCTGACTGAGACCTCCAGGACGTACAAGGCAGGTGGTGACTGCAGGTGGGGGAGGGGACACGATGAAAACTGCAGAGGCCACGTAGAGAGATCTTCCTCACTACCACCCCAGTGGGAAATAAGAGCAAGCAGCCCAGAGAACAGACGCCCATCAAACAGAAATGTCTGGGCGGACAAGGGCTCCCACATCAACCCGGAAAAGGCCAAGAAAGGCCAGGACCTCTTGCACTGATGTCACTTCCACCAAGCATTTTAGGATGTCTGCAAAGGGTTTTCAGAGTCCCTGTCACACATTTTCAGGCTTTTTTTTTTTGTTAGCTAAATGTTTTTTTGTTTTGTTTTATTTTGTTTTTGGAATCAATAATCTACAATTACATGAACATTATGTTTACTAGACTCCCCCCATCACCAAGTCCCCCCCACATACCCCATTACAGTCACTGTCCTTCAGCACAGTAAGATGCTGTAGAATCACTACTTGTCTTCTCTATGATGTACGGCCCTCCAAATGCACCCCCGACATTACACATGCTAATCGTAAGGCCCCCTTTCTTTTTCCCCGCCATTACCCCTCCCTTCCCACCCATCCTCCCCAGCCCCTTTCCCTTTGGTAACTGCTAGTCC